CAAGTGAAGGTTAAGCTCAGTAGGTATCTTGAAAGAAATCAAGTAATCAGAAGCAATCATCAACATAAGAATTTCCTCTGCCTTGAGCAATGACTGTACTGGTTCACTTTAGAACAAACCAACCATTCAGCTTACTCCATAACAATTTATCTTAAATGATTCAAAGTAACCATGACAATCTTTAAATGAATACTGCAGCTAAACATATTTTAAACTGTAAAGAGAAATACAGATCCAATACATGTTACAGAGTTTGGTATTTAATCTGCTTTTAAAATTCTGACATCCATATAAGCAAAATAATTTGAGATGAAATGTTAAAAGTGGAAAAGGTTTCATTTAATGCTGCACACAGTTTTAGACTGCATTTTGGGCTTGGTAGGTTATATTGCCAGATTTCATACTCAACCATTTTGTTTTGACCTCCACCAGAATGCAGTCTAAGAGAAAAGAAGTACATTTTCATAAAGTTCCTCCGGGGCATCTGAGATTTAAGTGAAGAGATTTATTATTCTAGCCATATCAGATATAAAAGGTTAACCAGTTTTTTAGTCTATTAACTGAAGCATCCATTCTACCCCACAAAACTAGGTCAGTAAGAGGAAAATCCTACATTTAGTGCTACATTAGTATAAAAACAGGCTTTTCCCTAAGCTTTAAAGCCATACATGTTTGTGAAATTATATTAAAATATTTCAATTAAAATGCATTTTTTGAAATTCACAATTAAATAGTCCACAAGTCTGTGACCAAAACACCATGGCAATCTGTATATCAGAACCAAAAAGTGAAAGTGAACAAGGGTAGTTCATCATTCAAACTGAACAAAAGGGGCGGGGGGGAAAGACATCAGAGTTTCAGTTTTCACAATCTAAGATATGTTACAGCAGCACAGGGAATTTTTTCCCCTAAGATAAGCAGTACAAAGATCTTATGTATAATCACAAATCCTTACAAATATTATGAGCTAATCATGAAGTTTTTTTACCTACCAAAGACCACTACCTAATTGTCTTCAAAGAGGGAGACATCATCTTGGAAGACTTTTTAAAAATAAATCAAGACAAGAGGAAAGTAAGAGGGGAAAAAATAAAAACAGTTTGATGTAGCTGCTGTTTAGTTGCACATGAAAAACCGAAAAACCAAAAGATAACGAATCTAACACTAACATCCTTAATCAAGAAAAATTTCCAAGTCAAAATACAAGCAAATCTACCACTGAACTTAAAGGAAATTTGAGTAAGGAGTGAAAGATTAAAATCAAGAAGAAATTCTGATCCCACTGAAATCATTAGAGAACCAAAATTATCACCCAGAGTTGGTAGGATTCATCATTATGTCCATTACAATAAATAGCCTGCACCAAACAAGTAAATGGACTGTCTACATAGATTTGGGGGAGGGAAGGTGTTGAACTGAAGTATGTAAGAACACACACTTTACTTCATACAAAAATTAGACAACAGAGGTGCCATTTCATAGTTTGAGAACTGAACATTAACTAATTATCAGCATACAACAAAAGAAATTCCAACTGGCTAATAAAGGCATTACTTTATTTACATTTCAGAATGCAGCAACTACTTAGATTTTCAAAGGCTCACACATTTCCGGAGCATAGACCTAAACAAAGTGATAGATTTTGAATGGCCTTATTTTTCTGTTTTGACAGCTCTTTTGGTTCTGCTAACTTGCTCCTGTCATAACAGGATTTATGGGGACAGAGAATTCCAAAAGTACCCAGTTCCCCAAAACTAAAAAATACTGATGAAAGCCAATGCACCTTAAAACAAAGTCAGATGATTATTTCCCTTTGTTAAAACAAAAGCACTTGGACAATAGTTACCTGCATGATGGCATTTATACCTAAAGATAGAAATGTGGGAAGTATTTGAATTAATTCTGGTTTACATTCATTTTACAACTAAAACATGAGTTACCTGATAAATCAAGTAGAATCAACTTACTTCTCTACAACATATCTATTAGAGATCTTTACATCACTTCTTAATAAAAAATGTATACATTCCACTATTTTAAAATAGCTACAAGCTTCTCCTTGGCTTTGAAAAAGACAAGGCTAGTTTCCCTCATAATGGCTTTAGTAATCCAATAGTACAAAAGCAAAGTAAACAGTGCTGATCACATCAGATATATGTTACATCATGGGTAAGCCATACATCATAACACCAACTGATTTTATTAAACATTTTATTTTGTCCCAGATCAAACTGAACTACCACTGTACTAAAACAGCAAACAAATAAAAATAGTTCCTGGTATGTCCAGACATGTATATTTTTCTTCTATTGTGTATATGTGTTTCATCATAGAAACGTCAAAGTCCCGTAAGGTAGACCAGGCTCTTTGGGTAAATCTGATGTCTCTTATTAGGCTAACTCAAATAGTTGGAAAAAATTATTCTTTGCAAGCTTTCGGGTACAAATACTGGTGCAAAGAATTTCTTCCAACAATTGAGTTGGCCTAGTAAAAGACATCAGATTTACCCAAAGAGCCTGATCTGCCTATGTCCTTAGACCAACACAGCTACAACCTATACCCATGAAAGTCCTGTAACAAACTTTAAGTTTCTTTGAACCCTGTATATACTGCAACTGGTGATCTTGAAAAAGCAGCAATAGCAGTAGCAGCAGCAGCTCTGTAAACAACCCTCGGTGTGGCTATGTAATCAAAACTAAAATAGAAGCTCAGGAGTTGTAACTGCTAATGGCTTGGCTCAACAGCATACTACTTATGCCTTACACTAATAATATATTCACACTTTCTTAATCTTCTAGTTATAGTTCAGGACAGATGTGCATTGCATAAAGCCTCCTCTTCCGACTATGACCAAGAATACTTCTGACAGTTGGTTGGGCAAGCTGTTTCCTACCTATACACACTGAAATTGGGGATAGTACTTCCTGAGCAGGTTCAGTGTAACTACATGCAACAGAACCAAGCATTCCTCAGGGGAACACAATGGCAGATATGATCAGCCTCGCCTCCTACACACAGCTTAACTCGCAAGGGATTTACACAGAACATTTATGATTCTGGTTTCACTGCACATTCAAAAGCTTATCAGGGGCACAGGGAAAGGAAACCTATACACAGAAGGAAATATTAACATTAGCAAGTCTCTTTCTTCACACATTCTATTAACTACCAGAATTCAACTCTTCCAAGCACACACTGGCAATTCATGTTGCTATATTTATCACATTATCTTTTTCTTAACTTTATTACAGGGTCAGTGTAACAAGTACCTCCTGCTTATCTGATTGAAAGACTAGTTTATTTCTACTCTAGCCTAGGTGGCAGAAGTACTTTACTCCAGTCCAGGTTTTTCCTGTCACTGGACTTCCTCCCCCTTCTGCCTCCTTCTCCCCACCCTTAGCCTCAGGGTCAACAGTTTGGAGGATATTGTGGAAGTGGTTCTTTCCCAACTTGGGTTTGTTTTGCAGTTGGGACTGAAGATGGTTCAAGCAAAATTCAATTATTGTGAAACTCAATTTATAACAAATGCAGAGGAGAAGAGAGCTCAATTTTAGTGGAACATAATTCCAGTGTTTGACTATGGTCTGTATATGCCAAAGTTTACATAACAACATAAGGCAATGTAACCAAAAATTGTCATTAGTCACATTCATTTAGGCCAAACCAAGCAAATCAAGAAACCTACTTCAGCAAAACTACAACCAACCAACAACTCATGATCTCTCCGTAACTCGTCAATCATTCAGACTCAGTGTTCATTTCTGTTTGACCTTTCAGTCATCTATCCATCCGAGCTTAACTTCAAATTTCTCTCTGCAAAGGGTAGATTCTCTCAATGCCTCTTTCTTCCTGTATTTCTTTTCTTCTGAATCAACTAGCTAGTAGTAAACAAAAGAAAAAAGAGTCTGCAAGTGGCTCTTAGACATGGCCCTTTTTACTCAGAACAGATGGCCTTTATCAGACATAAATACAAAAACAAAACCTAGATGCAATTTAGCCCTACTTCTAAATCACACATCAATTCTGTTTGTTAAATGCATCAACACATATGACATCCATACATATGAATAGGTCAAAATGCCCTAGCCATAGAATGGCAAGAATGAGGAGAGTTCAAATAATGCTTTTAATCCTGGACTGACTGTCTGTTCTCTGCCCGCCTCAAATGTACTATACAATTTCTCACTTGTTCAGAAAAACTCTTGGTTTTTTTAAGCACAACTAGCACCTCAGCAAAGAACAGCTACATGATTACAAGGGAAATTTCCTCTCAAATTAAACTTGAGGTTATCTGGGCTGGTTTTCACCTGCAAACTGTGGGCATCTCTGCAGCCCACTTAAAAGAGCAAACTAACCAACCGTTCACTGCTACTGCCACTGAGCTGCAAACTGGGATGCAGTTACTTGCCACTTTAGGTCAGGCCTTTAAAACAAGTGTGCCAAACTATGGGCAACAGGGATGCATAGAGTGCCCACGGAGTGACTCCGTCTGTATGTTTTGCATCACACATTGGCCAAGACTGATTCCAGGACTTTGGCAGCAGGTAAAATATTTCAGAATCAAAGCCGTTATAGGAACCCTTTCTAGATGGGTGATGACAAAACACAGCATAGATAACTGAAGAGCAGGGAGTCAGCTCTCAGCTCACTCTCCTTCAGGTTGAAAACCTTCAGAAGGAAACTGCACTGCTGTGGTTTACTTTTTCAGTGGGTGTTAACAGCAGATCAGATGGGGAAAAGAACATGAAGCCAGTCCCACAGCAGGATGGGGACAGCAATATTAGTTCCTGCTGCTGTACCAAGAGACCCAATACCTTAATGCAACAGGATGTCAAGTTAGCCAGGAGGAAATACTCAAGCTTTATGCGAGAAAATAAAAGCGGGGATATCTGGGGGAGGGGGAAAGGTGATTGCTCAGTGTCTTTATTTGAGGAACTTCAGGAGGGGCAGGGACAAGCAGCTGTGAGGAAGGAGAAGAGGGAGAAAGGGGCAGCACTCACCTTTCACAGCACTGGCTCCTTTGAGGTTGTGCGAGAGGAAGTCGATGCTGGCATAGGTGCTGGGCTCCCCGCCCCCCAAGCCAGTGCTCAGGGCAAGGCAGGCCTGGGGCCGGCTCTGGTCGCAGGCAGCCAGCAGGGGCCCATCCAGCACATCGATGGCGATATAGTTGAGGCCGTTCTGGAAGCCGGCGGAGGTCTGGCGGCACATGGGGCTAGTGCCCTGCTCCTCCTGCAGCCCCTCGCTTTTCCTGAGCGACACATTCTCCACTGATGCTGAGTTGTGCCTCTTGGGGGTGTGCGCGAAGGAGGGGGACACAGGGGTCACAGTGGTGGTGGACGAGAAGGTCTCGGAGCTGTGGCGTCGCCGGCCTTGTGGGTCGGCACGGATGACTTTGGCGCCGCGGTCAGGGTCCGGGGGTGGGCTGGCCAGAAGGAAAGCCTCCACCCCAGCCAGTGTGAGGCGCTTCACGCCTGCTGTGGGGCTAGCAACTGTCCGGGCACTCTCAGGCTTGTGCGCTATGGGTTGTGGCGGTGTGGTGGCTGTGCCAAAAGCCATCTCCGTGTAGTCTGCGCCATCCGACGGGCTACACAGGCATGCCACCCCCACAGCTGCTGGCAGGTAGTGCCCACCTGGCTGACTGCTGCTGCGGCTCCCCGAGCCTGGAGACAGTGCCTCATCAGGCGATGCGGCACCCGAGCGTCCTGAGTCCAAGTTCATGTAGTCAGAGAGAGGTGAGCGCTGCCGGCCAGGCCCTGAGCCCAGTGAGGAAGCGGGGCTGTCAGCAGGCAGAGAGCAGCTGCCAAAGTCTATGTTGATGTACTCGCCAGGGCTTTTGGGCTCAGGCGGCAGCGGCGGTCGCTCCTGGATGCTGGGTGGCAGCAGCGTCCGCACTGGTTCCAGTGACAGGCGGCTGGGCCGGGCCACTCGCGGGCCTCGCAAGCTCTCAGGCCGGCTGTGGTGCAGGCCAGACGGCGTAGCAGGGCCCACTGGGGCACCTCCTCCTGTCACCGCTGCCTCCAGTCGCCCCGGGGAGCTCATCAGCACATACTGATCGCTGTCCTGCACTCCCCCACAAGAGCTGCATGAGTAGCCTGGCTTGGCCAGAGGTTCGCTTGCCCTTGGGGAGAAGAAGAGGTCAGGGGGGGTGAGGGCTGGGGTGGTGGGCCCTGATGGCAGCTGTGGCGGCTCGCGGGGGGACATGTTGATGTAGTCGCCTGTACCCAGCCGTCCATCAGCACTCTCCACCGACAGCTTGGAGCCGCACCACATGCGCATGTACCCACTGTCATCTGGGGAGCTCTCCCCCGGGGAGCTGGTCTTGTAGGAGGAAGAGGAGCCGCCACCGCCCCCTAGCCCAGTCCGGGGCTGCAGGATCTGCTTGGGAGCAGACACACTAGTGGGGCTCATGGGCATGTAGTCATGGCTGCCCCGCGCCAAGGCAGCTGCCACCCCAGGGGTCATGGGCATGTAGCCATCGTCGCCTCCTTGCCCTGCTGCTGGCCCCACATGGGTGCCACCACCAGAGCCAATCTCGATGTCCCCGTAATCCTCAGGGTAAGGGGTGTAGGTCACTTTGGGCGACACCCCTGCTGGACCAGAGTGGAAGAGACGGCTGGCGCTACCAGCAAAGGTGGCCCGCATGAGGGTGTACTCGTCCAGGGAGGCAGAGGAGACATGAGGTGGGGCAGCCCGCTGCTGACATGGCGTGGTCAGCGAGTAGGTCCGTTTGCGATGGGCCTTGTCAGTGCTGAGCTCTGGACAGGGCCGGCAGCCAAGCCGGCCAGGCTGCGGCCGTTCCATGGCCATGTAGCCATAGAGCTCGACAGCACCACCAGCTTCACGTACCGGGGGGGTCTCGGCAATGGACTCAGGCGTGTTGCTACGGGTGCTGGCGGTGGAAGAGGAGGAAAAAGGCCGCATATCACCGCCGGGGCTGGAGCCATACTCATCAAAGGACATGAAGCCCGGGTCGCTGGGGGAGCCTGCCACAGAGGTGCTGCCACTGGAGAGGCGCAGCGGATGGGGTGGCTCTGAGCCCAGCCCACTGCTGGACGACAGGCTGACAGGGCTAGCGGCAGAGGGCGGTGAGTGAGACACAGGCATGGATATGGATCGGCTGCTTGGCACTGGCACCAGCCTAGCCGCCTGCCTGCTGCTGCCGCAGCTGCCACCCCCCGCCCCCAGTGTATGCGACCGGCTCAGGGGCGTCCGCACCGGCCCAGGACTCATAGGGCTGCCGGCCAGCGAGCCCAGGCGGCAGCCACCATCTCCCTCGCTGGCTGTGCGCACCCGGCATGGCGTGGCCTTGGTGCTGCCAGCTGCCAGGCTGTCGGTGCGGGAGCGACGCAGGAGCCCAGTCTGACTGGGCGGCAGGTTGACCAGGTGGTGGCGGCGGCCACCGGGCACGGTAATGGGGTGCGTAGCTGAGGCGCCACCGCCACCGCCCGACGATGAGGACGACGATGACGACTGGCTCTTGCTGCGGGGCCGGAACTCGGACAGCTCCTTGAGCGCCTTCATGGCCTCCAGGATGGTCTCGTGGATGTTCTGCGCCACCACTGAGTCGTCCGCCTGCATCCACAGCTCGCCAGGCCCTGTGGCAGCAGAGCGGCCCACCTCCATGAAGAAGAAGCTGTCAGAGTGGCCGCAGCGGCGGATGTTCATTAGCTGCAGCGTGACAGCCGGCAGCTCACAGTTGAGGCGCACGAAGCCGATGGTGCGGGCGGACAGGCAGAGCCGGTGCACGCCCGTCAGGTTCTTGCTCTGCCCCAAGCCCTTGGGCTTCAGTGTCACCTGCCAGACCTCCCGGTAGGCAGCGCTGGCCGGCGTCACCAGCCCGTAGTTGAGGTCCTCGGCGGTGGGCGCAAAGGGCGAGGGGAGGCGGCGGTGCGGGGAGCCATGGCAGGCAGCTTTGCCCTCACTCAGGAGGTCGGTCAGCGCCCGGTACCAGCCCTCCTGCTCCTGCTCATTCTCGGCAGCCACAGCAAAGTACTCGTCCTTGGTGTAGAGGGCGATGAGGTACTTGTGCTTGGCATCTGCCCGCTTGTTGATGTTGAGGCAGGAGTCCAGCGCGATGACCCGCTTGGGCGCTGCCGACTTGCTCTTCCACTTCTTCTCGTTCTCGTAGTACTCCAGGCGGGC